ATCCTCATTCCACACTTTAGCATTCATGTCCCCTATGATTATTTTACAATCTCTTTTTGGACATTCGCCATATATTTCATCCAATTCATCATAAAAGGAGTCTTTCTCCTCATCACTTTTATCTTCAGTTGGGGCATGTGCACAAATAAGGCTATAGTTAAAAAAACTTTCCCTTAATTCGTAGTCTACGTGTTCTGTGAGATTTTGCCTGGAAGTCTAAAATAAGATGCTTCCTTTTTTTATTACCAATATAACCTGTTCCAAACATGTGACTCTTCTTCTGACAACTATAGAGTACAACATGATCCCTCTTTTCCATGACTCCTTTACCCAACCACCTCAGTTCTTGTATAGCAGTGATATCTAGTTTATAGCTATCTAGTCGTTCAAGTAGAATTTTTAGTGCTCCAGCTCTGTAAAGAGATGATACACTACATTCCAAGATCCAATTCTCAAATCCTTTAAACATTTTCCAGGTCATCTTCAATAGGTCTGTCTGGCTACTCTTTCCTTGGATTTCTGAACAATTTGGTTTTTATGGTGTGAGGTTGTTGGCTTCATGCCCAACTCCCAACCTGGAGGACCAGGGTATCCTTCTCTGTCTGGCTCCTACCCCTTGACCTGTCCGGCATGGGTGGTCCTTCCAGTAGCTATGCTACTGCCGGCATAGCTCTAAGGGTCTCAGGAGCTCTCAAACCCCACCATCACGATAAGGTGGGGACACGACTGGTGGGGTCTGCAAAATATAGTTCAAATTAAAAATTAAGTTTTGAATTCTGAATGTCAAAGATAACTGTAATGCCCAGACATTAGAACAGTAATACACACTTTAGTTCTGTGAGAATTCTGAAAGTGAAAACTTCTTTCAGCTCTGCACCATCTGCAGCCTCTCAAGTATTCAGGTGGTACTGGTACAGAAGGACCAATACAATATAAACTCACTAATGAATTCAGGAGAGAAACTTATTTCTCCATGAGAATATGGTCTCACCAGAGGGCAGGACCAACATGCGAGTCTCATCCAGGTGTAATGGTCGTTCATCTTTCAGCCATGTGATAGTGGCTTGTGGAATAGCATTCACCCAACAACTGAAGTAAGCTGTCTGTCCTGGGAACACTCGCTGATCTGCTGGCTGCTGCAGTTGTGGCAGGCCTGAAAAATTAAACACAGATGCAACAATATTTGTGGATGTCATGTCAATGTTTAACTGTAAAATGCCTGAAGAATGTGAAAATCCCTGCACTGTAATCCAAACTTGAAAGTAGCAAATATGTATTACAAGACATATTCCATATGGGCATCCAGCATCTGTTTATCCATTCTTCTGCAATGTTTCAGTTCTTGAACACTATGCAAAACTCAAAAGAACTACGTTCATATGTCATCACCAAACTCCAAGACAAAATCATAATATAAAAAAATAAAAATACCTTTAAAAACGTTCAATGATAGAAACAAATTAAAACTGCAGGCATTAAAAAAATTAGGAGACTGAATGTTTGCTACACTCAGTTAAGATTCTTTTGTCTTCCTGTGGGCTATCTCAAATTTTAAGATTCACTTCGTTAACTTATAATTCTACCACTTGTATTGAACAGATGTGAAATTTGGTTTCTTGCATGAACAAAGAACGATACGTTGAAGGTCGTTGAGAACAGCATGCCAAGGAAAATACTTGGCTCTGAGGGCCAGGAGGTAAGAATGGATTGGAGAAAACTGCATAATGAAGAGCTTCCCCACTAAACACAATTAGGGTGAACAATGGTGACAAGATGAGTGGGCCACATGGCACCTGTGACAGAAAGAGAAACGCATACAAGTCTGATAAGGAAATCTGGAGGATAATAAAATAGACCTTAAAGAAACCGGACAGCAGTGTGTAGGCTGGATTCAGCTGGTTCAGGATATGGACTGGTGGCAGGCTCCTGTGAACATGATAATAAATACCAAAAGGCTGGAAATTTCTTATGCAACTCAGTGAGTATTAAATTATCACAAAGAACCATGCTGCATGGTGTTAAATTAACACTACAAATCAAATATATGAATTGCAACATGATTTCTTAGTTTCTATCTATTAAAGTATGGTCTATTTGATTGTGAGGCTTTCCTTCAGGAGTTGTCTAATTTATGAATGTTATGATGTGGGAACACTGTGTATTTGACATTCACATTTCTTAATGTGGCAAAGTTTGCTACTCCAGCTCCATTATCATTACTAATCTTGTGCAAACTCTCATTCCCAATTATTGGTTTGAAAATGTCTTCCCTATCTACTTTGGCATTGAAATCTCCTACAAATTTTCATATGATATTTAGGTGATTTTTCAAACACATGTTCTAATTTGTCATAGAAGCTGCCCTTCATTTCATCAATTTTATCCTCTGTTCGGTCATGAACATTCAGAACAATGAGATCACACCAGCGACCTCTTGGCATTATGTACAACATCCTATTACTAACAACTTTTTATTTGGTTCAGCCTGGGCAATGACACTAAAGAGTCCTATTCTTTAAATAATGGAACCACAAAGTGGAATATGTTCATCTTCCTTTAAAGAGAGGTATAAAGACATGAACCAAATTGGTTCTAGATTTTAACAAAAAGGTTTTTAAACATTACTTTGTAAACAGACTAATTATAATAATTTACAAATGTTTTAACAAATTCATGCACATCTTAGATATTGTTAAAGGATACAATATTTTATATCTATGACATTGTAATAGTAGTTTCTTTATGTATTAATAATGTCCTGAAGATGGTCACTCCAACCGAAACATGTAAAGGATGAAAGATTAAAAAACACAACATTTATCAATGAAACATCTATGTATCCACAGTCTATCAATAATGCAACAATTGTTTATTCACCATTTAACACTTAACACAACATATTTCGGCAATAGATGGCCATCTTCAGGTGTCTTAACGCATTCAAATTGTTACACTGCTCTGATGTGCGCTAAAACCACACGTTGCAGTCCACTTAAAAAATTAAATTCACTTAGTGGGGGGTGGAATCCTACTGGGTCCACTCAGCATGGTGGCCACTGATTGGCCTATTGTAGCCTGCTCCAGGTGATTATGATAATGGAGAATATGGTGGAATGAAGATTGGCAGGGGAAACCGAAGTACTTGGAGAAAACGTGCCCCAGCACCACTTTGTCCACCACAAATGCAGTCCCTTTAAAATGACATAAGTAATTAATCAAAATCCATTAAATTTTTTCACAAAATCCTATTCCACCTCATAAGGGGAGTCATCCACTTGTTTAGAGCTATGTGATTATTCCAGAAGGTTCGTTTCTGCAGCTTGTTTTTCCGTTTGTTAGCCCGTTGTTTTGCTAGGTCTGCAATCTGTAATATGCCCCCTTGCTTGCTCACACTGGATGGCGTTAATAATCTTTTATAATATCACTAACAAACTCCACTCTGGTAACTGCTGACATGATTAACTTAAGTAGAAAATAAAACTTCTACTTAATTCATCATTCTCATTCCCTTTTCCACAGAAAAATGCATATTCACCTGTTGGTTTGGTGCCACACCTGTCCCATCTGACCTCCAGTACTCCCACTAAATCTAACTTATATTGACATTTCTTTCACAGCTGTTATGAGTGAACCTGCCCTATACACACTTCTTACATTCCATGTAACAAATCTCATGTCCATTTTCCTTAATTTAGGTCATCTGAATAATTCCATCAACGTCCAAGGTCCCTGTAACATTTTGTAAGAAGCTTATATTTTAAGGTGAGGAGTTGTTAGCCCCACCCCAAACCCCCATGCTGGAGGACCACCCCTTGTTGGCTGTCCACTTAAATATATTCTCAGCTACCCTCCATATCTGGAGACCTCCATCCACAATCTGAGGACACACCATGCTGTGTAACAAGGGATCCACTTAACACAGGGTTAGGAAATCAATTATTAAAATAATCACCTTCTTACATACATAGATAACATACCCCATATATCACACTGAATGTCAATAGCAGTCAAAATTCCTATATAAAAATAATCAAACTGGTGTTTAGTATGAAAACAAACAGATGAGAGGCACTTTAATATTCTGTCAAGGCTAGGAAAATAAATGTTAGTCTGTTTCTCTGTGCACCCTCTACTAGGGGTTTGAGGGGTCGAATAAATCAAGCCATAAGTCTGGAAGTAATGTTAGGTTGTCATGTCATTATGGTACCACAGGGAAAGAAAATACCATCCATCCCCTTCCACACTATGGATGGAAATCAATTTCAAGGAAGGAACCTGTTTGTGAATGCGAATGCTAGAACATTCATTGTAACAGAATAAGATTCACTCACACTGAGTGACCAACACAGCATCAACAAATATTCCACTAAAGAACGTGTACATCTACGTAAATTGGACTCTTGAAAATGTGACTTAACAGGTACTTCTTACATAACAAACAGTCTTCAGCTTGTGACAAAGAAATCTCAATGCTTGTCTTTCTATTATTATGACATTCAATGAATTACCTGATATATGAGTAGTGGTACATATTGGTACAAAATTATATTCTTTCAAACACAAATGTCACATCTCAGAAGATGGTACTCTTCACGGTTACCATTGTGACAACCTCAAATCTCACACAGTATAAATTATGTAGCAAAACAATGCACTAACGGATTATCTTTGCCCACAATGTTGCCGCCCACTCAAACTCACATTCTGAACCTAAAAGTAGAAGTTGGCCTTCTCTGCATCTCTGGCAATGTTAAGCAGACCTATGGACTTTGTGTCACTGATGCACACAAAACCAATTCCATTGTACTATGAGGGATTCCACTTCTCAAACAAGAGTGCCTACCACACTGAGCTGCTTACAAACCCTTTCACAATAATTCAGCTTCTTCCCCCATTGTAATTTGATACCAGGAGGAACATTACAATGATCGACTTTTAATGAGAGATGTGCTCAAGCTGAGTGAGGTATACTTGTAAGGCCATTGTTTCTGTAGCAAGCTGCCCTCTCATGTAACTGCTAGTTCCATCTTAATAGTACATAATGGCAGTTCAGAGTTGGGTGCCATGTTTGAAATGGGCTAAAGTGACTGACATTCAAGTCTTCCACCAATGAGACGACAATGGTAAATTTTACATTAAAAGAGTACTTTCATGTAGCCTGTACCTACATCTTCTGAGAGGGTAATACAAGCCTCTTGGTCTAGCAAATCATTTGTTTTCAATCACCAATTTATGGCAACATTTGGGGATGAAAAATTGAAACATCTATCAAATGAAGAATCTGATACTATACATCTTCAAATTTGAAATCTAACAAGAAATTTCCATAACCAATTAATAGTCAGTGGTTACCATGTATCAAATATGTATTTGGCATGACAGGAAATGCTTCCAAGAGTCTTTGTAAGAAGCGGCATTCATAAACTTACAAATGTTCTTTTGTCTGATTATTCCTTCAGGGTGACAGGTGAAATGATACATAAAACAAAACACACCTTGTCTACAGACTGGAGCCATATTTAGTGCTACAGCACCCTAAAATCTAGAAACTGATGTAGAGACAGGTCATGTCATGAGACAGAACACTCAATATGCCTACTATGCCAAAGATATAAAATGGGTTGTAGTAATAGGAATTCATTCTAATGGTGGAATTTGTGCCAGAGTTTTTGAAAATATATGTTATAATACTATAAAACTGGGTTGTGATAAACTGTGCCAAAAACATATTTGAATGTGTGTCATCACCAGATTGTGACACATATAATTGATTTGTTGCTAGAAGTTAAGAGAACTCTTCACAACATAGGAAGAGACCCAAAAGCACTACACCAGAAATCTTGTTGAACATACTGTACTCTTCTTCGTACGAGAAAGAAAATGGTCAAGTGAACAACACTTCATCACTTGCAAGCTTTCTCTTGAAAACTCTCACTGTTTTTATGAAGTCTGGAGCCCTTGCAAGCTTTCTTTTGAAAACTCTCACTGTTTTTAGAGGCAGTGTCACATAACTTCGAATAAGGCCACACATTCCCCGCATTCCTGCAACCCACCCCCTTGTCTGAAATTTTTCTTCTGCGCATTCAAGGTTACTCTTGGTGCTCTTGGCCTTGTTCAAAGTTACGTGACACTTGCTATATGAAGTCTGGAACTCTTGCAAGCTTTCTTCGTTTTTACAAAGTCTGGAGCTCTACTT